TTTTAATTGGATTATCTTATTGAGTCATAAGAGTTCTTCATATATTTTGGATACAAGTCCTTTATCAGATATGTGATTTTCAGATGCTTTCTTGCAATCTGTGGCTTTCCTTTTTAATTTTCTTAATGGCGTCTTTTAAAGCTCAGAGGTTTTTAATTTTGATGAGGCGCAGTTTAGCAGTTTTTTTCTTTTATGGATCATGCTTTTGGTGTCATACCAACCCAAGGTTACAAAGGCTTTCTTTTATGTTTTATATCTGTAGTTCTTACTCCTGCATTTTTGATCCATTTTGGGTTAATTTTGGCTATGGCATTCGGTAGGGGTCCAGCTGCATTCATTGGCATGGGGTTGTCCAGTTGCCTTGGCAGCTTTGTCAGAAATCAACGGACCACACACGTAGGGGTTTCTGTTTGGCTCTGAATTAGGTTCCATTGACCTGGGCCTGTCCCCCTTCCGCCGCACACAGTCTTGGTTCCACAGCTTTAGAGGAAGTTTTGGAATTGGAAAGCATGAGTCCTCTCGTTTTGTTCTCCTTTCTCAAGATTGTTTTGCCCCTTCCTGGGTCTCTGCATTTCCATCTGAGTTTTAGGATCAGCGTGCCAAGTGTCTGCAGAAAAGCCAGCAGGCGTTTCCACGGGGATGGCGTGGAGTCTCCGGTCAGTTTGAGGACTGTTGCCGTCCCCCCAGTCTGGAGGGCTCTCACGCGGGCACGTGGCCTGTCTCTCCACTCGTTAGGTCTGTTCAAATTCCTGTCAGCAGTGCCATGATCCATTTTTAATTTGAAAAAATCCAGTTTTGTGGATGAAGGTATGTGAGTTTATGAGCATAGAGATGAGCTTGGAGAGTAACGAGGCTTCCCTTTGTCAGCCTTGGGAAGGCGATTCCGGAGGGGGCGGGCAGGGGAGCATTTTGTTTTTAGTTTATATACCTCCTGTATTTGAATATTTTCCAACACATAATTTTCTAGTTAAAGTCAGTTTATGTTGTAAAAAAGTTGTTTGTCAGAACTGACTATGAAGAAATTGGAATGAGAGACTTATTTAGTACATGTTAAATATAGATCAAATACATTTGGTTTAAAGTTTTCAGAGATATCTATATCACAAAAATCCCCACATTAGAGTATGCCTGCAGCCTCCTTTTGGACAGATTCAATCTGAGAAAATTATACGGAAGAACACCTGTGTTCGCTACTGCCATGCTCTCCCGAAGCGGAGCGCCTGCCCGCCTCCTCCCATGGTTCTCGGCCTTGGTTCTGGACAGTAGGACGATCAGGGTGCACAGAGCACAACAAAGGAAGAAACGTGCAACAGAACAGCTGTCCGGGTCCATCCCCAGAGACCCTGCCCTGGGGCTGGCTCTGTCCTGCTGAGCACACGTGCTCCTTGCCCTGGGTGCTCCCCTCAGTCCCCGCACCCTGGAGCCCCTGCTGTCTTTCCTGCCAGGCTGCGGGTTCCTGCGGCCCGGAGAGCAGCCTGGGCCCTCAGGCAGCTGCTGGTGCTCCTTCCGTCCTGGCATGGGGTGAAGCCCAGCGGCTGGAGGGATTGAAGGCCAGGAGCTCATGGCAGAGCTGACGCGCTCAGCCTTCCAGGGCAGCCCAGCACAGGGGGCTGTGTGGGCAGCCACCTGCATGGGTGAGCTGGGGCGCTCAGCTGTGGAGCAGCGATTGCGGGAGGGAGGGGACGCCCGTGCCAGGGCCTGCAGGTGGAGGCTCTTTTCTGCTGCAGGTGGTCGTGACTTTGGAGAGTTCATTCTCCCTTAGCAATCCAGTTCAAGTTGGAAGTACTAACGAATGGTTTACAGTCTGCAGGACTTAAAACCTTGTCGTATGTATGTTTGAGACGTTTTGTCCATGTGCTGTGACAGACTTGCAGCCGGAGTGACGTGCAGGCGTCGGGCGGGAACAGGCCTGGCGGGCAGATGGCTCACCCCCACGCAGACACACCCAGGGTGCACAGTAAGCACTGTGGTCTCCCTGCGGCCTCCGGTATGCAGGCCTGGAGGCTTCTTCTGTTGTGTAGACGCAGTTTTAGAAGGGAGAAGCAAGGAAGAACAGTTTCTCACTTGAATTTAGTGTTGAAAGACTAAACGAGCATTTCTCCAGGTTTCAGGGACTCTGCACGTGAGCGAGTGTTTTTGGTGGTGCATGATTGCAGGCGCCCCGCAGCTCTGGGCACAGGGTGAGCTAGGCAGTGGACCTTCTCGAAGGGAGAGCATGGCCTGTCGGTGGCCAGCCTCAGACCGTGGGTGCTGTCCTCTCAGTGTCTGCTCAGCCTGTCACTCACCTGCAGCCAGCCAGCGGGAGTGAGCGGCTTGAAAGGTGGTTTCCTTTCCAGAGTAGAGCATGGCTGTGACGTTTCCCTCAGATACTTGTCTCAGGGAGTGAGAGTACTACCTCAGAGCTCTGGAATATTGTAGACCGTTATTTTAAGGAATAGATGGACAGTAATTTGCTGGCTTTGAAGATTTTCTGTTTGTTTTAGATAAATTTGTTTCCTGTCTTCTTCTTGTACTTTATTTTACCTGAGGAGTTTTGAGATGAGGCCTTTTAGTGAGAGAGAAGTGAGGCAGTCTGGAGTGTGGCACCGAAGTTCGTCCAAAAATAACACTAATTCTGTTTCTCGGTCTCGGTTCAGGAGTTGACACGAAAGCATTTTACAGAGTCAGCAGGCTGCACGCATGGGCCCCCTGTGTGCTTGTCCTGAGCAGCAGGGCGTCCTGGAGGAGAAGGAAACCCTCGTTTCAAACCAGTAGCGAACTAGGGCATTTGAAAACAGCTTTGATATTTAAGATGTGGGAGCACTTTAGGAAATGTTTGATCATGCTTCTGAGGCTACGGAAGACCAGTGGGTTTTTTTTTTTTTTTTAATGTTAAAGAAAGCCTTATTATGAGAAACAAAGAACTGTTATCAGAGTGTTGAGCAAATACCATTTGGCTCATTCCAAAACACTACCCAGACTTTTTTTTTCTCTTCTAACTCTGACGTGCCAGAAATTCGGAGGCATTGGCAAGCATTCCTGACATACGACAGTGTTGCTTTCAGAGGCCCGAGTTTGCCCAGCCTTCCGAGTGGGCAGTTTGAACCGTGCTGTACCCCTCACTCCTGTAACCAGACCGCCTTAGCACCTCGCTGCGCCCTGTGATCGCTGGCCTTCACAGCTTTGCTAACAGTGGTGGGGAAGCGGTACTCGCAGACACCCTTCATCAGGGGCCAGTGGACGACTAACGGGGCGGCATTTATCATCTGCCAGGAGCTCTTCTGCTGGAAGAGGCGTGGGATGATCATAAATCTCTCATTCTGGTCTGTGCTGGGTCTGCGCGTAGAGGAAGAGGCGTCCAGGACGGCCGTTGGGGAAGCGCAGAGCAGGCCTTGGACCGCCTCGCCCTGCAGCCCGCTGGGGGTGGTCGTGGTACTGGTTCTCTGCCCCGTCTGCAGCCCCTTGTGTGGGACGGACGCCCTGCCCGGCCCTTGTCCCTCTTCATGTGGCTTTCCCCGTCCTGGTTTCCTGCCAAGGCTCTGGGTGCTGTTGGGACGCTCACCCCTCCAACACAAAGTAGCTATTCACTGTGGTTTCCCCCCAGAGTAGCAAGGGCACAGTTTTGAAATCAAGGTCGGTCTTTTAAATAGAAAAAAAAAAAGGGCTCTCCAAAACACTTTTCCCTTTGTTCTCATTTTGACTCTTTCACTGCAGCCCAGCCCCCTTTCTCCCAGGATGCAGTCTTGGTGGAATCCGCTGCGGGGCGCCATCGAAAGCCCTGAGCGGCTTCACCAGGTGATAGGAAAGCCCTCTGCTCAGTTTCCTTTTGAGTTTTTTGTCTTTTTTCTTTAATTACGGAGGTAAACACTGTTGATACTTTTTGCAAGTTTATATTATTTTGCTGAATCAAAGTAATTTATTGATTTGAAACAAATTTGTACTTTGAAAAAATGATTTTTAAAAAATGAGGGCTGTCTTGGAATAAATCTGTTCCAGCTCTCTTTTTCCTGTGCCTTATCTGGTTTTCATCTCGAAAGGTGGCGCGTCTGCCGTGTTGAGCGGCTCCTGCAGTGGCCTGGGCAGGTGTGTTTGTAGAGCTGCGAGAACTCGTCCTGCTAGCGAGGCCAGGCCCAGTGGGACGCCTCTGCTCACGTGGACGCGGGTCGTGGCTGCCGCTGTCTGGTGTCTGTCGTTTGCCAAAGACTTACGTAGGGACGGCTCATCTGTAAGGGAGGGGTCTTTCTCTCTTGAGCTGGGGCTCTTCCTCTCTGCTGCCTTCCTGTCTCGTACGTGGGTCAGGATAGGGTTAATTTATACGTGTAGTGCTCACGTGTGACGGGACTTAGAAGGGGTTTAGTCCGTTTCTGCCCCTCCCCGTGTGACGAGGCCAGCAGCCCAGGCAGACAGGCACGCAGGTGCCTCGTGATGGTGCGCCAGGCGAGCAGGTGGGCTCTGATGCGCGTGTGCACGCCTGGCCTTGCGCGGGAGCCCAAGTCAGTGGTCATGTGTATGCTCTTTATCTGTTTCTCTGAGGTTACCGAATCATTTCTTAGGCACACTTAAAAATTTAAAATAGCCTTTGAAATAACAACTCTTAACCCTCATTCAATACAGCGGTGCTGTAACGTCTGCCTAATGTGTGTCTTTACCTTCAAGTAAAATGAGAGCATGCATACAGGAACCAAATCCCTTGGGTCTTACGATGTTGCTGTTAGTTCTTTCCTCGGATCCCATATTCTAGGTTGGCTGTGCTGCCCCTGAGTACCTTCATTAATGCAGACGCTGTGCCTGAAATGTTATATATTAACATTGAAATAAAGCTGTGTTTGTGCTTTAAACCAGATTGCAGTGGGACGCTGAGACATTACTTTCCCATTCAGAACAAGTACCAGTTTATCATTATTACTTACATAATCTTTCTGTGTGCGTTTGTGGAGCAGTAGAAATTTCCTAGCTGCTTACAACAGTGTGGTGGACGTTGAAAAACCCACTTGAACGTCTCTGTACTTTCTGTCTCCTAGGGGCCCAGAAGATACCTGCTTTGAGTTTGGGGTCTTTCCTGCCATCCTGAGCTTCCCATTGGATTACCCATTAAGTCCCCCAAAGATGAGATTTACCTGCGAGATGTTTCATCCCAACAGTAAGTGCTGTGGGGTGTGGTTCCGACAGCAAGGCGTGGGACTGTGTGGGTCGGACAGGTACTGTCAGCGATGTAGAGCCCGGAGGGTGTTACCTGGGTGTTGATCTGCAGCCACTTGGCCGTGATGGTGTTGACATCAGTTGAACGACAGTGCGACGTAGATGAAGGAAAATGCGGACCTGACGCTGGACGCCATCTGACCTGTCCGCTTCCGCCTCCGGCGGGTCGGTCAGAAGACGCAAGTGTGGCTGTGTGCAGGGGGGGATGCCAGCCCCCGGCCCCGGGTGGTTGCTAACAGTGGGGACCGGTCAGAGCAATCTAGGTTTTTGGCGACAGAGAATCGGTCAGCTGAACTGCAGTAGACCATATGTTAGAGTTCGATATAGATATTTTACATGATCTACGGTAATATTTGATAATATAGAATGATAGTTCTGGATTCGATGAGAAAAGCAGGTTATGTTTAATCATGGTTGTTACATTTTTTTGGAAAAAATTCACATGTAAATATATATAACTGGAAATGTAGCACAAAAATGTTGAAAGTGATTCTCTTTCAATAATGGGATCTTTTTTTGTTTCTATAAATCTTTTTTCTAAAATAAACATGTATTTTAAAGAGGGGGAAATGACATCATTAAATAAATTTATTGGACTTAAGTTGGAAAAGTGTCTGGTAGTAGGCATTGGGAATTCCTGAATGGCTGTGGTTTTTATTTCTACCTTTTATAAGAGGGGATTATAGATAAGACAATTAGTAAGAAAATATGTTGTATCTTTAATGATCATATTTAGGATAATGTTCCTTTTTTAAAAAAATTTTTTTAAAGATTTTACTTATTTATTCATTTGACAGAAAGAGAAAGAGAGAGAGAACGAGCAGGGGGAGCAGAGGGAGAGGGAGAAGCAGGCTTCCTGCCAAGCAGGAAGCCTGATGCGGGCTCCATCCCAGGACCCTGGAATCATGAACCAGCTGATCCACCCAGGTGCCCCTAGGATAAAGTTCCTTTTTATAAATGATGATTGCCACTAAAATCATGATCTTAATAGTTATAGAGAAGAAAAGCAAGTAAGATACACTGTTTTGTAGAAATGAAATATTCTCTTATTTGAGTTGGATTCCTGTAAGGGAGGGGTCTTTCTCTCTTGAGCTGGGGCTCTTCCTCTCTGCTGCCTTCGTGTCTCGTACGTATGCTTTTCTGCATATAAAATAGCTCAAGGCTAATTTAATCCACGAGAGCATTTACAGAACTTTCTGAGCCTTTGACACCCCTTGGCTTACAAATGAACCCACCTCGCAGTTCTCCCCTAGCCTGCACCTGTCTGAGCACCTCCACAAGGGGGATGCCTACCCAGACCCCTGCCCCCGCCAAGAAGGGTCTCAGGATTACCCGCCTGTTACATTCTGTCCAAACCCTCATTTGGAATTTCTCATGTCCCACTGATGTTAACATGTGGGTAGTTAGCTCCCTCCTCAGAGAGACCATTTTGAATTTTTCTCATCTCACACTGATGCAGTTCTGTGTGCACAGTAGGTGCTCAGAAACCCTCCTCCTTTTGAGAAGGCTGGCCATGAGGTGCCGTGGTCAAGGTTGGGCAGTGCATGTGTATGGGAGTCCATCATATTGCTGTTGACTTTGGCATGTGTTTAGGATTTTCTGTCATGCAGAGTTTAAAAATATGGTGCATAGAGTTGATTCAAGAAGTCAACAGTTTCGGGCGCCTGGGTGGCTCAGATGGTTAAGTGTCTGCCTTCGGCTCAGGTCATGATCCCAGGGTCCTGGGATCGAGTCCCGCATTGGGCTCCCTGCTCTGCAGGGAGCCTGCTTCTCCCTCTGCCTCTCTCTCTTTCTGTCGCTCATGAATAAATAAATAAAAATCTTTAAAAAAAAAAAAGTCAACAGTTTCAAATTCATTGACTGTAAAATGCAACAGTAAAGAGGATTGTGGGCAGTTATGAAACAGTGAGGTTGTATTGAAGATGAGCACGTTCTTGAGAAGAGCACCTGGGACGTGGTGTCAGAGACCGATGTGGCCGCCAACAGATGATTCGATCATATACCCACAATAGTCTGGTGTCCAGATAGTTAATACAAGTAGCTTTTAAATTTGGCCTTAGTGTAAGTGGATGTGTGTTATTTTTATTTTCTAAAAATTATTTTTGAGGTTTACCAAATCGGTCAGTCCATAAATACTTTAAAAGAGTAATTCAGCACATGTGCTGAGACTTGCTGGGATACAGGAGTGAAAAGATAATAAAAGGTAGGGGCCTCGACCATCACGAGCTCCCTGTCTGAGGGCAGGGGTAGACACGGATGGAAAAATACGGGTAAATATCAAGTCACACTGGGAGGCCAGGGAGGGCGCACTGTGGAGGTGGTGGTTGAGCTCACCGTCTGCAGGGAGAGCAGTAGGAGTTACCCAGTGATCTGTGGGAGGTCAGGAGGGTCTTGCACATGCGAAGTCCCCGTGTAGGAAGCAAAGGGGCCAGACCAGTTCAGGTTGGTCAGTAAGAAGGAATATTTGCGCCAGGAGCAGTGGAGATCCACTGAGCGAATCAGAGTGAGGGAGGGAGTAGCGTGGCCAGCATGGTCTTTGAAGTGTTCCTGGCTGTGAGACAGATTGCAGGGCTGGGACACCAGCGTGGTGGCCTGGGGAACGAGAGACCAGCAGTGTGGAACCAAGCCTGGGCATTGACAAGGGAGGGATGGGGGCGGGGAGGGATTAGAGGGAGGCTTGGGGTGGGAAACTGAGGCACCCCATGAGAGAGGAGGGGGCGGGGACACAGCTGCTTCTCTGTGTTTCTGGGTGTGCCCGGTCACCATGTGGGGTGCCGCTGGAGTCGGAGACCTCATGGCAGAGAGACTGCCCAGCGCTGTGGGCGCCCAGGCCCTGTGTGGGGCCCTGCGGACAGGCATCCTGATGTTGACGGCAGATTTGCACACGCTTTCCCTCTGCGGGAGGTTGCACAGGTTCTGGGTGGTCAGAGCAGAGACCGCCGGGATAGGGGTGGTCAGAAGAACAAGGAACGATCTATCAAAGGGAGGTCCTTAGAGCCGCTCAGGTTTCTCAGTGGTCAGGGGGTTCTGAGCTCACGAGCGAAAGGGACTTACATAAATTTATTCTGAATGGTCTGTTTTCTATTATTATAAGTTACCGGCCTTACAGTTTTATAGTTGAGTCTATCCTGGGTATACGCTGAACCACCCGAGAATCTACCGTGTGTAAAAGAGAGACGTGACAGACGCCCACAGTGTCCTCGATAGCGTTGGTCACACACTATGAATAGAAACGCCTTTTTCTTTACCCAGACCACAGGCGTCTGGTTCCTGGTGCTGTGTGGTGGGGGTGGTGTAGATTGGACACAGCTGACCCCCAGAGGCACAGATGACCGTCGTCTGTCTTCGTTAGAGTGAGTCCCCAGGAGAAGCCAGGGCACCTTCTTCCTTCGTGGTGTTTCAGTAATCCTGGTTGCCTTCAACCTGGCGCTGTGGATATAGATTTTTCACAGCCCAGTTCCAGGATTTCATGGTGGAATTAGGAACATCTCAGAAATCAGCTCTGAAAGTTATTGTGAGTAATCCTAGTTACAAGAGTTACTTGGCTGAAATATTTCACTGCCAGGTAACCTTTCAGGTATTTAGTGCTTTTAGATGTAGTACTAAAAAAGAAAAAATCCCTGTGAAGGTGGAACCATTGGGGGTGCCTGGGACCAACCAGATGGGCCTAGAGCCCGGTCGGGGAGCGAGGGGTCCACCTGGCCGTGTGGACCTGAGCGTGGCGCTTGGGGCTTGGGCTCTGCTCCAGCCCCGTGAACAGCTGGCTTTCCATGTCTGCACTGCTCACCCTCTTCCCGCGGTGGGCCCGGCCCCGTTCTCTCGGCTCACCTGCTGTGTTCTGACCCCTGCAGTCTACCCTGATGGCAGAGTCTGCATTTCCATCCTTCACGCTCCGGGCGACGACCCCATGGGCTACGAGAGCAGTGCCGAGAGGTGGAGCCCCGTGCAGAGCGTGGAGAAGATCCTGCTGTCGGTGGTGAGCATGCTGGCAGGTAATGCGGCCGTCCCGGCCCCAGAGGAAGGAGCCAGACAGCATGGGGGCTGCTTCTCTGTCCTCATGTAGTTTTGCCTTTATAAGTCATTTCGGTTTGCGATCTACATATGCTGTTTTCTGCCTTTCCGTTGAATTATTTGCATATGCTTTTCCAAGTGTAAGCACACTTTTCATACTTAGGAATTTTAAAGTTGACTTCGTGTTCTGTCTATTGTATGTTGAGCAGAATGAGCCGCGCTCCAGTCCTCAGGCATCGAGTTCGTGGAGTGGGTGTCTGCTCTGTCGCAGACGCTGGGTCCTGGGGTGTCAGGCTTGGTGTGTCCTAGACCCCATCTTTAAGGCCCGCTCTCTGAGGGGACTTTCCAAATCCACAGTGGCTGCCAGTCACTGATCCATCCCGACGGACACACACAGGGGCTGTTGGGCCCGGTCCCGGGACGGCACTGTCTTGGATGAGTTTAGAACGTGTAGGAGGTGACGAGCCACGGGGGAGGGAGAGGCATTCGGGGTGAGGCCGCTGGCTCTCGTGGGGGCACTGCCCGCGCCAGTTATGGCTCGAGCTCAGCTGGGGGCAGGGAGCCCGAGCCTCCCGGAATGCTAGCAGTGCCTTAGCAAGACTGTCCTTGCGGCAGGGTGTCTGTCGGGCAGCTGTCGCAGCGGCCTGGGGAAAGAGGGCTTCCAGGAGGCCAGGGACGGCTGCGGGGCCACGGGGACGGGTCGTTGGGAGACTGAGGCCTGCTGATGTGCACGGTGACCCCTGTGTTTCTGACCTCAGCGCCGGGGTAGAGGGCTGCCGTCTCTGGGGACAGGACTCCGGAGGGGCCGGATTGAGAGAAGAGTCTGGCGTGGGAGTGTCTGTTCTTGGTGGTTGCTCAGCCAGGGCCAGCTGTGGAAGTGAGGCTGCGAGCTCGTGTCTGGATAAGATGGTGGGTGAGGGGCCGGACAAAGGGGATGAGAAAGGGCACGGGGGAAGGAGAGGGGTCCTCAAGGGAACGTAGGGAGGAATGACCTAGACAACCAGGAAGGAGAGAGACGGAGGAGAGTTGGAGGAGGGCTGAAAGTGCTGTGGGAGGCCTCCGTGGGCCCTTCGGGTACCGGGAAGGCAAGGATGTCCGTGCGCGTTTGACGGCGGAAGCACTCGCCTCTCCATTCACACGCTGAGGGAGTGCATCAAGTGAGCGGCGGTGGTCGGCTCTCTTCAGATGAAAACTGTAGATTGTATCGTGAGACACGGTTTTACTATAAATTTTTTTCTTAAAAAGTTTTATTTATTTTATTTTAGAGAGTGAGGAGACGCAGAGGGAGAGAGAGTCCCAAGCCGACTCTTTAAAGGTTTTAATGTAGGGGCGCCTGGGTGGCTCAGCCGGTTGACCATCCAACTCCTGATCTCATCTCAGGTCTTGATCTCAGAGTTGTGGGTTCCGAGCTGGGGTTGGGCTCCACTCTGAGTGTGGAGCTTGCTTTAAAAAAAAAAAAAAAAAGGTTTAATGTATTCCTTACATGCTGTTCTCACAGAGTACATGCCCTCTGTTCTGAGCTACTTTTCTAGCTCGGCCACGGCCGGCTGCCCCACTCGGTGCCCTCCGGCCTGGCCTGCTTTAAGAGGCTGCAGCCCTTAGTCCTCTGTGAGCTGTCCAGGCCCTGGGGTTTCTGCTGTCATGGGTGCTCTCTGCAGTCGGACCTGCTCAGGAGTCCCCTGAGCACACACCCTCCTCGAGGCCTGCAGGACCCCAGTCCTCTGCCTCCTGCTCTCCTGTTTCCCACTTAGTAGCGCTGAGTTTGAAACGATGCACGTGTGGATGTTCACGGTCTGTAGGCGCACTAGATGGTGTGCCCTCTGCACACCCAGTGCCCTGCATAAGGCCTCACGCACAGGATCTGCCAAGGAAGGGTTTGTTGAATAAATGGGAGGAAAGAAGTCATCTTGGTTGGAGAAACAGAGACGTGGTGGCCGCAGAGGGAAGCGAGGCTGGGGCATAAGGGAATGGCCAAGGTCCTGCTTGCGGCTGTGCTGGCCTCTTGGCTGTCTTTTCTGTTCTGATCCAGCGCTTCCCGGTGTTCTAGCTCCCTGCCCCGCGGGCCCCGCTCCCTCTGTGTGTGTGTGTGCCCTGATCTGTCTGGGGCACCTGCTGGGGTCAGGTGTGCCCCTGGGCCAGACATCCACCTCGCCTTGGCCTCTGGCAGGAGCTGGGTGGGCAGCTGGAGGGAAGAGTGGGGCCCAGGGTTTCCAGATAGAGAGAACGTCTTTGACACTCGGGAGGTAGGGATCACGAGGGTGGGTCTTCGTGCCGCACGCGCGTGTCCCTGACTTCACGCCGCCTCTCCCTCTCTCAGTCTGTCCACGGAGAGCTGACTTCCTTCCCTAGCTTTTCACAGACTCCCGAGTCTTCCGTTTGTCTCTGGGACACAGCTCCAGAAAGGTGCACGGGAGTTTTAAGTGATATATGGAAGACCTCGCCAGAGCCCCTTTCACAGGGAGCGCGACTCCTTCTCTTCTCTTTCAGAGCCCAACGATGAGAGTGGCGCTAACGTGGATGCTTCCAAGATGTGGCGGGATGACCGGGAGCAGTTCTGCAGGGTGGCCAGGCAGCTGGCGCAGAAGTCCCTGGGGCTCTGAGGCCCGCCCTCCGCACACGCACACAGGCGCCCAGCTGCGGCCGGCGCTTCTCTGCTGAACGCGCGCTGACGGTGACACTCTGTGCTGGTACCAAAAAGGCGAGCTTGCAGAACCACAGCGTCTGTGTTTTTCCCTGCCTTTCCCGCTCCAGCAGGCTTCTCTTCTGAAATTATGATGTGTGTAGGATGATGGCAGTCGGATGCAGTTTTACCGTATGCCTGGCACGGCAGTTCGGGGAGATGGTGAGAGCCGTCCCCACCCCCTCTCCCGGCCGGAGCGCCTGCACACCGCGCAGCGGCTTCCCTTCTGTCGCGGTCGGTGGGGGGCGTGTGTGCCACACTCCAGGGGCCTCGAACCAGTGCTGCTCCTTCGAAGAAGCAGGGCCTCGCAGCCAGAGCAGAGGCTGGGCGGGACGGCTCTGTGGGCCCCAGGACAGGGACATACCTTTGTTTCCGTGCTTTCTAGTACTTCATATGTGTTTCCTTAGCATCTCGATACATCTTTTTTGTCTGTTGTGTATTGCAAACTATCACACTTAGAGATACTTTCAGGAAATAAATACTTTTTAAAAATACGGATTAATGAGAAACGGGGTGTGTGAAGAGGTTTTACTGCTGGTTGTAAAGACTGACACTTTCTTCCCGGTCATATTTAGCCAAGATTTACATTTGTGTCCTTGTTGACTTGCGCAATCACTGGGGCAGAGGGACACGCGGAGCCGTGTGAACACTGGGAGCGCTGAGCTTCTGTACGCGTGGCCACAGCAGGAACGTTAGCTACCGAGACAGAATTGTTCTTTGCAGCTTGGTGTCGGAAGGGAACGTTCACCCTTGTGAGCACAGAGCGCAGAGGCGTGCCTTATCCCCGACCTTGGGTGGCGCCCAAGGCAGCATGGCGCTGTGGGGGGCTGGGGGGCAGCGGCACTTAGTTGTGGTCTGTGATTTTGCTGCAGCCCCAGAGCTCGCCAGCCTGGGCGGCTCAGCAGCAAAGCACCAGGGCCTCCGTTATAGGCAATAACAGAGCTGTTCCATGTAGAATCAGATATTTGGCCTGTTTCAGACAGGTTAAATTTAAATAGGAATCTCTATTTTTGAAATAAGGGACTGTCTGTACGACATACAGTAGGTTATACTTTCCATTATCCTTTCCCCCCTTTCGGACGCAGGAGTCTGTCTTGCTGAAAGCTGACGCGTACTTTCTTTGTGTTGACAAGTGCTGGTGGAAAGGGCTCCGTCCATGCTGGGCTTCTGTAAGGAAACCAGACTCTTCCTCGGATCTCCTAGGGGAACCGTTTTAAACTTGACGTTCAGTACGAGAACTTGTGTTTGGAAGGGCATCAGGGAAGAGAGAGGTATCGTAGCCAAAAAGTATTTGCAGGCCTCTGCACCCAGAGGGAAGGAATGGTTTGTGGGGGGATGTGGCCTGGGGGTGGCCGCAGCAGAGGGGGGCTTCCATGAAATCTGGAGAAGGAAGAGAGGCAGTCTCTTTGCAGACAAAGTATTTTTATTCACTTGTATTTATTAAATGGAAACGAAGAATCTCATGTCCTTACTCTGTGGTGGAGTTTAATAACTATGTTAAAAATAAAGTTCTATATTTTCCCCCTAGTCTGGATTGTATTTTTCCTTGTTGAATTTTATGTAATCCTACAAAAACCCAAGGCTGGTTGCGTCCGGGGCCCGTGGCGCAGGCCCTGAACGAGGTGTCCCGCGGCAGGAGCCGTTTGGAGCGAGCGCCACTTCACCCCGGGGCCCGCGTGTGCTTCAGAAAGCTGCGGTCTCCTCGCTCCCGTGCTCGGCCCACTGCGCCTCTGCCCAAGGGGCCCCCGTGGTCAGCAGCGCGCTGTGGCCGGCCTCTCCTTGGAGCGCGGCGCTTCCTGCCGCTGGAACACGGGCCATGGGGAGAAGCCAGCGGGATGACGACGCCACACGGTTCTGCAGACACCAGAAGGTGGGTGACTCTGGCCCGACTCTGAAGCGACAGGCTATGGACTGGCCTCGGATGCTGGTTCTTCACCGTGAGCGTGAGGAGGTGCACCTGCCTGTTCGGTGACTTGTGACTGGCTTGCTTTGGTCCAGGTGCTTTCCTCTGAGCCACCTCACTGGAGATCCAAGGACGGGCCGCACCCTGCGCGGGTCGAGGAGTCGGGGTCCTGCCATCAGCACCCCCCGGCACAGCCCAGCCCAACCAGGCTCATTTCATGGACCCTGGTGCCTGCCAGGTGTGTGCCTCCACCTCCTGGGGTCCTGCGGTGACGGGAGCCCCACTCTGGCTCTAGCTGAGCTGACCCGCGAGCCCGCCCCGCCCTGCCCCGCCCCTCCCCTCAGAGTTTCTCTGCGCCTCCTCCCCCGCCCGCCCGCCATGGGCCTGCCCCTCTCCCTCTGCCTCTGCTCCTGCTTCGCCCGCTTCCTAGGGTGGGGCCCTGGAGGTCACCACCACCTCCTACGGGACTTCCTGTCTGAACCAGGAGAGGCAGATGTCCCGGGCTGGGGGTGTGGCGGGCACAGGGTCAGCACCGCGACTCCAGAAAGGTCCGTGGAAGCCTGTGTGCGGGGTGGGTGGTGGCCCTGCTGGTGGAGGCTGGCCTGCCAGCCTGAGGACACGGGATCCGCGTGGTGGTCTTTTGCCCTTCCTTTCCTTTTTGACTCCGTTTATCCGTTCACAGCGGGCAGCTGTAGGTGAAAGGAGCTATGAGGAGCGTAGAATGCATAGGTTCACCGGGGAGCCGGGTCTCGTGGCACGGGGAGGTGGGGCTGGCCCTCACGGCCCTGCGCACAGGTCAGGGAAACCCTGCTCTAGCTGCAGATGAGGGTGTCTGTCGAGCCCAGCTTTCCTGTAGTTCTCAGCTCCTCCTCCCGGGCTGTCCTGGTGCCGGGCCTCTCCGGGGTGGCAGGGGGCTGAGCATCTCCATGGGAGCTCCACCAGGCCAGGGCATCAGGACCCCGCTCAGAAGGGAGCTCAGCACTTGGGGCTGGGGGGGGGGGGGGTCCTGAGGGACACCAGGTGCCTGGTGAGGGTGGGGGTCATAGTTGGGGGGACGCTGTGGGACTGCGCTGTCCCTCTCCAGGCTGCTGTGGTCCTCGCCACTGGCCTGTCGGAGGTGCTGAACCCCTGCATCAAGCCAGCCTAGGGGCAGCTCCGACCGGCCCCGGCTGTGGGGACTGCTGTTCATCCAGTGCAGGGAGCAGGGCCCGTAGGCCTCACAGGGGCTGGGCCCCGTTGGGTGGGGGTCACAGACCTGGAAGCTGCTGCCAGGTTGGTGGGATGGGCTTGTCCATGTGGGCAGTGGGGAGGGCCCTTGGGCCCCCACGGCGAGCTGTGCGTGTGAGCGTGTGCACGGCAGCGACCTCGTGGGCCGGCCTTGGTCCCCGGCCTCCTGTTTGCTGCAGGGAAGCGGTGGTGACAGGTTCCTTTCATGTGTGTGTGCACGTGCGTGTGCATGTGGGCTCACCTCTCTGGCAGAGGACCTGACGTTGGAACCCGTTCAGATGGAAACAAGAGACTGAGGGATTGTCTTGGGCTAATGGCTCTTTGAAATCCTGGGTAATGCGCTAAATGAGCTGGAACCACATTAAAACAGTCGCAGCTTCAGGGCAGAGCCGGCTCGGGGCTTCTCACGGGGTTCTCCCACCTGGACCGCTGCCTGTCCAATGGAGCCGCTAAGTGGGCACTTGGCGGCAGCGTCGTCCCTCCCGCCAGACCCAGGGCACTACCCTGCCGAGCATGTCCCCCGTCCTAAGACCCGCGTACTTAACACACACGTACATATGTACTCACGTGGGCGTGTGCCACTCCTCTGGGGATGGACTGAGCAGTGGGCGCCTGACCCCCGGCCCCTCCACTTGGCAGGAAGCGCAGTGTCTGCAGGGACGGTAGACACGGGGCCTGGGCCGAGCCCGAGCCGGTGCCCGCTCAGCGGGGACCCCAGAGCAGCAGAGCCCGGCGGCCTGCGTCGGAACACGTGGCTCCTCCCGTGGTGGCAGGGACGCAACCCGAGACCAGTGTCCTTGGCGTGTCCTTCAGGAGCAGACTGCAGGGCCCGGTGGAGGTGCCGTGGCCGCCGAGGGCCTGGGCAGCTGTGCTCCTGGCTACGCGGTGGGGACAGGGCTGAGGGGTGCTTCCGGGCCGTGGATCCGAACCCTCCGTGCCTGTCGGGCGTCAGCAGCACTCTGGTGGGGGGCTTGGCACACGGCCGCCCTCCAGAGCTGGCTCGGTCAGGGCGCCCGCTGGGAGCAGGGTCGGAGTCCCGGAGACCCTGGAGTCAGCTCACCTTCCGGGAGGCTTCTGGCCACACACTGGCAAAAACCGCACCCGTTTGGTGTGGTGGCCGGTCCAGCCACGGGTGTGTGTGTCACTGGGGCTCTCAGCTCGGGCGCCCGGGCAGGCCCTGCAGACCTGACTGATGGTCGCGAGGGGGCGGGTGTGTGTGCCGTCGGCCCCAGTGGGCAGAGGCTGGGGCGCCGCTCCCGGCTCAGCCTGCTCAGGGCACAGGGCGACCGCATGGCGGAGCAGGATTGGGGCTGCGGGAAACAGAAGCACAAGCCTCCCTGCTTTGCCCTACCCACCCCCCAGCCTGAGCCCGGAGGGTCTTCCCTGGGCAAGCACCTGCCACCCTGACTCCCGGTGGTTTCTGGGTTAGCGTGCGTCACACCGGGGGTTCTGTATTCACATCGTCCTCGTATTTCTGGGGCTAGTCCAGTTCGGGGGCGGTGCGTTCCTCCTGGGGGCAAGCCGTTCGGTTGGATCAGCTGGCGCCTCGTCCGGCAGGTGGTGGGGGCCTGACGTCAGCTTTCTGCTGATGCCTTGGGTTCTGACGTCAGAGCTACGTGCCTCAGGGAATGCGGAGATTCTTCAGTCTTTTTTCTCCTAGGATAACCTGTTCCTTGAAGGTTTTGTAGACCTAGGTTGTTTGAACCTCCCAGGCCTGCTGCTCTCTTTGGAGAAAAACTTCTTCTTTTTAATTTAACATTTGAAGCACCTATAGGCTTATATTTAAAGTGGGTTTCTTATAGACAGCATGTATTTGGGACTTTTAAAAATCTCTTACCTTAATTATTACTTAAAACGGGCTCCCTGCTCCGCGGGAAGCCCGCTTCTCCCTCCCCCACTCCCCCTGCTTGTGTTCCTGCTCTCGCTGTCTCTCTCTCTCAAATAAATAAAATCTTTAAAAAAATAATAATAAAGGGGCACCTGGGTGGCTCAGTCGTTAAGCGCCTGCCTTCGGCTCAGGTCATGGTCCCAGGGTCCTGGGATCGAGCCCCGCATCGGGCTCCCTGCTCAGCGGGAAGCCTGCTTCTCCCTCCCTCACTCCCTCTGCTTGTGTTCCCTCTCTCGCTGTGTCTCTCTCTGTCAAATAAAATCTTTAAAAAAAAAAAAATTATTACTTAAAAAATTTTTTATCTTTTAAGTAATCTCTGCGCTCAATGTGGGGCTCGGACTCATGACCCCAAGATCAAGAGTTGCATGCTCTTCCGAATGAGCCAGCCAGGTGTCCCAGTTTTTATTATTTTTTATCCAATCTGACAATCTCCATCTTTTAATTATAAGTGTAATTATGTTTAATGTAATTACTGAGATGCTTGGATTTCGGTCTACAGTTTTATTCTTTGCTTTCTGTTTGTCCCCTCTGGTGTTTATGACTTGATGTTCTGGCTTCCCTGCCTTCCTTTGAATTATTGGAATAATTTTTAGTATCCCATTTAGTTTATCTGCTTTTTATTTTTTTAAAGATTTTATTTATTTATTTGACAGAGAGAGACACAGCGAGAGAGGAGATACAAGCAGGGGGAGTGGGAGAGGGAGAAGCAGGCTTCCTGTGGAGCAGGGAGCCCGATGCGGGGCTCGATCCCAGGGCCCTGGGATCATGACCTGAGCCAAAGGCGGACGCTTAACGACTGAGCCACCCAGGCGCCCCTATCTGCTTTTTAAACATGATTGATTTGCATTAGAAGTAAACAAATTGTATGTTACTGTGTGTTGTACTCATCTTTCAGTGGTTGCTTTAGGGATTACAGTAACCCTCCCTGACCTTTCAGTGTGCTTAGAGTCACTGTTTTACCCTTTCAAGTAAAACCTAGAGACCCTGGAGCCGCGCAGGACCCGGTCCGCCCTTTGGCTCTGTCCCCGTGGTACGTCTGCACACGCCGGGCCACCCCAGACCTGTGCTGGCTTTTGCTTTCAGTGGTTAAAGAATCTGAGGGAGCAAAGAGTGTATTACACTTGCTGAGATATTCCCGATTTCTGTCTCCTCTGCGTGTGGAGGCCGCTGCTGCGCGGGCTTGGCGGGGTCGCCCTCGGAGCCCGTTGTCATCTGCGCCGGTCCTCATTTGGTCTTCGTCCCCGCAGGTATTTTCCTTCTGGATTCGGACTGTCCTCTTGCAGACTTGGGCGGTGCCGCCCGCTGCTTGCGCCTGGCTGTTTCGGACGAGAAGCGCCCGCCATTCAAAGGGCTGCCCCCTTGCTGTCCTCCGCCCCGCTCTCTGGCGCTCGCAGGCCCTTGTCCTTGTCTTTGGTTTTCAGGAGGTGGATGGTGATGTTTCTGCTTGTGGCTTCCTTTGACTGTATCCTGTTGAGGTTCCACCGGGCTTTGTCAGGACGTAGACTTACG